TATTGTCATTTTGAATGTCATTTTTAAATATTAAGTTTAAAAAATTGCCCACCCCCCCACCACCACCCCATTTAAAAATATTGTAGTAAACTACAGTATATCAGTATCAATGTGTGAATTGTGAAATAAAAAAGACATTTAAAGGAAAATAAAAAAGTAAACAAAACTTCATGCCAAATACACTTTGAATACTAAAAGGTACATACTAAATTATAGGGTTTGAGTTAAATTATCAGGTTTTACAGTGTACTTAAGTAAACCTTGCTCAAAAGAATGAAAACAAGGACAAAAATAAAAGAACAAAATCTCTGAGAATCTGACACCTTGTACTTCAAAGCTGGCTATAGTTCTAGAAAAAAAAAAACTGTCACAGGCTTTCTAGTGGTATAAAGTGTAACAACTATTCTTTTGGTCTTTCAGTCTTTCTGGAGTTTTTTTTTTTTTATAAAAATGTTTTTTAAATCAGTTTCTGCAATAATTATTTTCAATGATATTTAATATTACTATTAAATAAATCAAATTTTTGATGTTTGATAAACATCATGCTCAGCATTTACATAATTTATTTGTTTATATACACTACTAGTCAAAAGTTTAGGGCCAGTACGATTTTTAAAATAAGCTTATCCTGCACACAAAAGCTGCATTTATTAAATTAAAAATAAGGTAAATTTTTTAAAGAGCCCATATTATGGGTTTTTGAAAATTCCCCTCCATGTAGTGTGTAACACAGCTCTAAGTGAAGTGAAGTATCTAGCTAAGGCTTAAATCTGTAAGAATACAGTGTTTAAAACGGTTGATTCATCTATAAAAGAGTCGACTCATAGTGCTTCAAACGAGTCGCCTTGATACCGACTCATTAGGTGTTTCGCCATGACGTACGAACGAAACCAAGTTATTCACGTGCACGCGCAAACCCGGGAGATTTCAAACCTGAGGCCCCGCCCTCTGACGCAGAAACCCAGACACACACACACACCCACAAACACACACCCACAAACACACGCACACAAACATGCCGGTCGATTGAAGTCACACTGCAGATGGACATTATATTGAGTCTCTACCCAAAGATGAAACATCAGCATTATAACCAAGCAGTTGGAAACTTCTGGAAGCTACATGCTACAAAGAATACTTCATCTGAGTTTGTTAAAGGAAGGATCAGTAAAGAGTAACTGATGGACGTCAGGATGGGTTTCTTCCATTTCTCAAGTGTAAGTACGTGCGGTTAAAGTTGTTGCCTCGTTTACTCTAGCTTGCAAATGTATTTAGTTGTGATTTGTTACTTGTAACCGCGTGTACTGTATCAGGTTAACTGGATATTTTATCTTATCGCGTGCAAAGTCACGTTAAAAACGCGACGCGTGCTGTTTGTTTATGGAGCTCCGTGCTAGAGTTCTGCTCCCGCGATTTATTCGGAAATTTATTCCCGCGCCGCAGAAATCTGGCGCGGGGACAGCCGCGGGAATAAATTTCCGAATAAATCGCGGGAGCGGTCGGTAACGGGTTTAATTTGGGACGGGAGCGGGCTGTCTAGCAATATCACGGATATTGCTATGCGAATTAGAAAGAGAGAGTCTGCGTGGTGCTTGTGTGTGTGTTAGTGCGCACGCTCGCGTATGAGAGAGAGCGAGAGAGAGAGAGAGAGAGAGAGAGAGCGAACGAACGAACGAACGAACGAGCTTTGTGTGCTTTGTGCTGTGTGTGTGTGTTTATACAGACAGCTTGGCTGTCTGGACTGTATACTGGGTGATTTTTGGTTGTGTTCTCCGCTCCGTGCCGGGGACCGGGCGCGGCGGGCAGAAAACGGAGCGGGTTCTCAGGCTAAAACCTGGCGGGTGCGGGCGGAAGCGGGAGCGTTGTCATCCGGAGGTGTGTGTGTGTTTTTGTGTGTGTGGTATGGCGAGTACACGACTGTCTCCTTCGTTCGGTTATCCGTGGCACCATCCACTCGCCATAGTGTGGCAGCTAAAATCCACGTCTACACTATCGAGCGTGTATGAACTGTGATTACTTTTAAATTGCTGATTAGCTATTGGCCATTTCCCTCTCTGACTAAAGGCAGTCGACCAATCGCGACAGACTGTCATCGGTCCAATCAGCGCAGATTAGCTCCGCGCTAAGGAGGGGTTTGGGAACAAATGAATCACTGGACGATTCATACAGGAGTCGCTGGGATAATTAGCTAAAAATAAATGCAGATTATAAGACCATGAAAGTGTTTTTTGACCTTGCATGCATATTAGACTGTTGTTGGAGACCCTTACAACCAGGATATGACCCTATTTCATGTATAATATGGGCTCTTTAATTGTAAAATATTTTAGCACTTTAAAATAACTGTTCAAAAGTAGTGTATAATTGAATAATTTATTCCGGTGATTTTAAAGATGAATTTTCAGCTTCATTGCTCCAGTCTTCAGTCACATGATTTTTTCAGAAATCACTCTAATATTAATTATTATTATTGTTATTATTATTGTTGTTATTATTAATGGTAATAGTAATAATTTTATTTAAAACTAAATACAATAAGAAAGCATTTATTTAAAATTGTAATACACATTTAACAATTTTTTTTATTTATTTAATAAATGCCGCCTTGATGAACAGAATAATTTTCTTTAAAAAATACATGAAAAAAAAAAAAAAAAAACTGACCACAAACTTTTGACCAGTAGTGTAATTTTTATTACTTTAAAAATACTTTCGAATCTGTCTGGGACCTTCATAATATTTATGCATGGCATACTTGAGTTTAATTTAACATATTTTTCTGAACAAGTTTGTAGTTTAAGAAGCAGTTTGCTGATTAGTTTGCTAATAATAGAGCATGAAAGAAAGTCTTAGACTGCAATTTGAGAGTGCTGTCTCAATATGAAAATCAGCTGCTGACCTCAAAGACCACTTCAACATCAGAAAACCCCCCATGAAAAAACATGAGTGTTATTCTTCTCATGTCTTGTCTTGAACTTAACTTGAGCTTAAAAGTGCAATGAAATAAACAAGCTGAACACAGATGTTTTCTTTTAGCATTTTATTTGTAGATTTCTTGCATAAAACGATTTCGCACCTGGATAACAATATATGGTTTAAAAAAGCAGATACAAACTGTATATTGATGCTGCACAATACAAAAGCTAAGCATATTTAAAACTTTAAACACATATTTAAATATTTTTCTTCAACCCATCCCAACAAACACACTTTTTATAGCTTAATTTTGACATAGAAGAATAAAATGCATGACCAGGAAAGCATGAGGAAAAGATTGATTGTGAGCACAGGTATGTATAAGCAAACTACAGACCATTAGCATCATACAAATCTGATTAAATGGTTTCACTTACCACAAAGTTATGAATAAACATATGAATACAAATCACTTTTTTTACACCACTAAATCTGAAGCTGAGTGCATTTACCTAGTGCTGCATTAGACATGTGTACTCACTGGCACAGCATTTCATTTCATTTTGCTTCCACAGCAGCGACTACAGAAATACTTGCCCTTATAATCTATTTAACTTCCACTGCGGTGACATACAATTCATCATACTTTATTCCTAAAAAAATGACATGACCAGTGATAGATATAATCATAATAAAACATAGAATGTATTTTTCATTTATGTTAATATATAAGTTACATTAGAGCAGGGGTTCTCAACCTTTTTCACTTCAAGGCCCATCTCCTTCTGAAAAAAGTTTTTTTAAAGGCCCAAACTGGTTGTCTAGAGAAAATGCTAATTTTAAAGCTTAATCTATTAGCAAAACATTTCTTTTGCCTTCTATTATGGTATTTTTTTAGATCATTTTATTGAAAAAAATGAAACAATATAAATATATATATTTAAATATAGTATAAAATATAATCATATATATATATATTTTTTTTATATAAAAAAAAACGCACAGACACGTTCAAAGCTCCTGAATTCTTTACTTCAGTTATTTTTTTTTTAGAACTGCAGAGTATTTGGGGCTTTTCTGTAATAAATGAGGCTGACAGGACATGGCAAAAAAATGATCAGTTTCTGCTTTGAATTAGACAGACTACTATTCATCTTTTGATTTACTATTCATATCCAATAAAATAAACAAAGAAATGTAAAAACCCTTAGATCCTTTTAAAGGCATCGATCTGAAGGCGGTTTGGTTTGTAGCTGGGCATTATTGGAGTTGGCTGATAGGAACAGTGAACAGCTGTTCACTACTGAAACACCACCAAGTCTCGCTAGATCCTCCTGTACGGGCGCATGTCCGTTATAAAACACTCGCGAGACATTACTTTGCACAACTATATGGATATTTTAAAGTGTTCCCACAAAGAGAGCATGCATAGTTTGTGAATCAACTGACTTGTGGGGCACAAGTAAGCTGGTTATTAAAACCTTAATCATCGTTAACGTTACCTTTACATTTTGCGTGACTCTTTTGATTTACACAACTGAGAACGTAGTCTTTTTTGACTGTGGTTGGAAGTTAAAGCCGCAAGACTGTACAGTGAGGCTGTTTTTGCACAAAGTTCGAATTGGCCTATTCAATCACAGAAAACGGGAAATGCCATTACTTCGATCATGTTAATATGACTTATTCAATAATGAATTCAAATAATTATGTTATAATATTTAAGTTAATTTTAAGCTATCTTGCAGCCCACCTACAGGATCGCTGAGGCCCACCGGTTGAGAATCCCTGCATCGGAATATAATTTAAAATGTTATATTTAATGTAGGTATTGTAATATAGTTTAGTTATTTTTGCTTTTAAATATATCATTTTATGTAACCATCTGTTTGCACAACAGATGCTATATTCATTTTCATGACAAATATTTTCAATACAGATTATTTTCATTTGTGCTCCTCATATGAGAGTGCATGTGTATAATCTTTATATATCAATAAATACTTCCAAAATATAAAACTAATTCATATCATTATTTCATTATGCAACTTTAATGATCAAGTCATGATTCATTTAATAAAAAAGAGAAATGAATCCTAAGATTATAAAGTCCTGAGGTTCTAAAAGCGGCTAACACAAACCGAATAATACAGCCAATGCTATATAAATGTAGGTATAACCATGACATAATAATGGCATGATAAAGATGAGACGTCCAGGAGAGGTGCAAGGATTTCCTGAGATTCAAACAGAAAGGGAAAGCCTTCTATTAATGTCACTGGATTCTATTATTATCGACTGACTAATGTAGTTTAAAGACAGTGTTTTGAATTACTCATATACATCATAACCACAGTGTTTTACAAAACACCAATGATACATACCAGAATCAAACTTCAGCATCACAAGTAGTATATCCAGGACTGTAAAGACAGAATTATAAATGTTTTCAGAATCAATAGAAAAAGCCATAAGTAGGCCCACCTAGAATCTGCGCACGCAGATTTCCGCGGATTTTAAGTGCATCATTAATTCTGTTCATTTACATGAGTAAATTTGTGTAAATCTATATTTATTCAGTTTTTTACTTAATTTTTGTAATATTATTGACTAATGTGAAAATGTTCGTCTGATTTATGTACAATGCAGTTTGTAAAGTAATATTTTCTGTCTTTTACTAGATATATTATATGACAAACTTGCTTTATTTACCTAATAAAGTTAATCTAATTGGATTTGCATTTTAAACATTAAATAAAAGTTTTAAAAGATATTATTTTTTATTTCATATATTAAGGTTTTAGTTCTGATACTCCCAAAATAATTCTGCAGAAATCCGCACACTTTTACCAAAATTCTCTGCAGAAAAAGCAAAAAACGTCCGCAGATTCCGTCTGGCCCTAGTTATAAGTTTATCTTGACATGCCAGTGTTGTAGAGCATCTTACCCTCGATTTTTCATATAACATGCAACGCTGGTGATCATGATAATCACCAACAGTCCACACACACATGCTCCAATCACAACACCAGTGTTCCAGATAGAAGAACCCCCTAGTGAAAAAAAAAAAAGCACAAAGCAGAGGTGTGAGAATGTGAATTATTTAAATTAGGACTAAAGGCTAAATTAATAACAAACTTTTCCTATGAACATTTTCACCATGTTCTTCAGTGAAACATGGAAGATACTTTGAAGAACATTTGGGTCCCAATAATATTACCAAGAAACACCAAATAACTTTCACTGTATGAATAAAAATGTCAGATTTGCAAACAAGAAAACGGGTTCTGGTTCAGGTCTTTACTTTTTGCTTTGTTAAACGTCCTGTAAAGTGCTTTGACATGGGCCATTATATTCAACGTTTGACGTAATCTCAACTACATGAGGATCAGGAAGGCTGGGCGGGACATACATTCTCTACCCTCCTATTAAAAAACAACCAATATTGTTCGATTTATATCAAAACTCTGCAAGTCAGTGCTGTTGAGCACTGTCTATAATAAAAATACAGAGTCTTGCCATTTCTATCCAAAGGAAATAATATTTACACAGTCTGTGTCCCCATATACCTTATTCATAAATAATAGAAGAGTAATATATTGATACTAACACTTAAAATGTATATATTTTTATTTCACTGGAATTGAACTTTTTACTGAAATACTGAGTTTTTATTACTCATGATGTCTTTAAACAAACCTACCAAAGTCAAGCATGACCAATGTCCATCATATGCCAACTGTCAAAAATGGATTTTGTTTTTGCATGTTGATGTACTTTCAACTGAAACAGAATATTGAGTTGTGGGCGAGGCTTTCCTTGTTCACATCATTGCCTCTTAGCAAACTAACAGTAAGAGGGGAAGGTTAAGAATATTGTAAAACTGATGTCAACTGAGAAGGACCACAACATAGACTTTGCTATGGCGGAGACTAATTAATTTAGTTACATTGGGTTTTTTGAAAGTTGTGTGTGTAAGTTAGAACACCCTTAAACGGAATATTACGGTTTTCAGTATCAGAACATTATAAAAACAGTACAGTCCATAGCAGGTCTTAAGATTTGGATGATAAGACCTCGGATGAACAACATCACATGGCATTTCACATCATTTCATTATTTATTTATCAAAAATAAACCTATGGGTTAGACGGAATCTGCGGACGTTTTTTGCTATTTCTGCGGAGAATTTTGGTAAAAATCTGCAGATTTCTGTGGAATTATTTTGGGACTATCATAACTAAAACCTTAATATATTAAATAAAAAGTATTAAATTACTGAATACAAACTGAATAAATTCAGATATACACATTTACTCAAGTAAATAAACAGAATTAATGATGAGCTAAAAATCTGCAGTAATCGCGCAGATTCCATGTGGGCCTACCTATGGATGACAAACTTATAATTCAGTTCAGAGACCGTTTTTCTGTATGACCTTACCATTCTACCAGATCATTCTGGAGGAGTTTGGAGTTTTTTTAGCATTTCAGTCAGGAATAGGACTTTGAATGGACTATAGAAATGTCATGATTGTTTTCAGATGTTCTGTTGTAGATTTGCTGCTGTGCATGAGATTTAGCCAAAGGCCTAAGAGCATCAAACTGCTAAACGAGTCAAGGCATTTTATTAAAAGTTCTGACTTTTTTTGTTAATGCTATTTGTTGTTGTTCAACAAAGGATTTTTTTTTTTTCAATTACAAAGTGGTAATACTGGTAACTTACCTTCAGGGTGTGTTTTTGCAGTGGAATTACCTGCAACCAAATAATTACACTTAGTACTATTCTATATACATATCTATTTTTTAAGCAACAGAAAATGTGTTCATGAGTAGTGGTGACACTTTATTTCAAAAGGTATGTACAGTAATCACCTGCAACGCTAAATTTTTACTCAGTGGTTATACTCTTCGCTACTTTTTAAATACGTTCAGCTCAAAGCCAGTATTTATTTAATAGAAAATACAATAAAGAAAGGATATCCATGATTGCTTGTTGGTTGATGTTTGTATCCTAAGAACACATATGGTGACAATACCTTTGTAAATATCTAAAATTCTGCAGTGATAACCAGTCACAGTTAAATTGTGAAATAATTGCAATATTAAATTCATTTTTAATGGAATGTAGGTTAAGATGTAATTATTATTTTGGTTTAAAAGCTGAATTTTAAGCGTGATTAGTCAAGTGTTACATAATCCATCAAATATTCTAGTAAAAGTATAAGTCAAAAGTATTGTTAAACATGAATTATCTAATTCATCACATTCGTCACAATTAATTATTCAGGAGTGAAAATGCAAATGGAAGCTTTTATTTTTTTAATGTTCTTTTTATCAATGAATCTTAATAGAAAAATGTATCAGTTTTCATGATAAAATTTGACAAAACAACAAGTTTTTCAGCCCTGATTATTTTAAAAGACTCATTATTAGTGTTGTTGTACCAATAATAACTGATCATAATAGAACAGCAAATCATCATAATTATTTCTGAAGGATCATGTGACACTGAAGACTGCAGTAATGATTCATCACAAATTCAGCTTTGAAACAGGAAAATTTTTCATTTAAAACAACATTCAATACAAAAAACAGTTATTTAAAATTATAATATATTGTGTAATATATTCAATATTTACAGTGGTAATATTTTATTTGAGTTTCCCTGTTAATATATTAGCACAAATTTGCACTAAAGCATTAAAAAGTTAACCTTAATCGAAATAATTAAATATAACGGTAGCTTAAAACAACAGAATGAGCAGCGAGAATACAAATGAAAGTAATTTTATTTGTTTTGGGCATCTGCAATCTGAAATAAACTGTTTCAATTACTAATTACTGCCCATTAGTACCAGATGCAGTACATCGCTAATTGATACTGTTTGAGCTTAAGTTACAGGGCAAGTCAAAAATATCCTATTGATAAGATAAACAAATATGTTTATAAACAAAATGTAGTCAGTCAAATTAGTAAATAGTAGTAAAACAATTACTTACAAAAGCATGGCTTCTTTTCATGGACCTGCATTATACATAAAAAGAGAAATCATAATCAAAGCATTAAGTGCAGTATAACTTCATTAATGCTTTTAAATTAAATGAATGCCCTAACAGTATATATAAAAATATTGAAAAACCCACAACAATTTGACACTTACACCGAGACTGAAGCAAACGAGGTGGCATTCAAGTCCTGTAGGGCAGATCTGTAAGATGGCGCTGTTTGCTGTTATATTGGCAATGGGCTGGAGGCATTGATTTTCCTCAGCATTAAAATATGCCGTTACTTTACCCTGATCAGGAAAGGGAGAAAGAAAGAATAATAAAGGATGGTGAGATGGCAAAGAAGTTTAGACATATACCTTTTCTTCTTTTCTTTGCACGTTTATAACATAATGCTGAAAGAATGGAAACAAGTTGCTTGCCAAGCCTTTTGAAAATAACCGAATTTCTGCTTGATTTATAATTAAATTTAATATTGTTCTAAATATTATTCATTTCGATTTTTATTCAACTCTCATTTATAAATGAAAACTTTGACTTTTTATGCGTAACAAGACCTGCTCACTCCCCCTTCCCCCCACACACTGTCCTGTACTAGTCACTATGTGCTAGGTCTGTGACTATTCGAAATTCGATTTCAGCCTCAACGATTATGAAAAATTATTAATTGAGATAAATCAATGAATATGCCTCATATCCTGCCCCCGTTTCCAGCAGTCCAAACTTGTTTCTCTCAAAGCTCATTTTCACATTGAAATCAGTGAAATATAATATTACTTTTGCAAAATGGGACACACATCATTCTTTGTGCATTCGATTCATTCATGTTTTTAAAAGTGCGAAAGAGAATAATGCACACATACACACACACACACACACACACACACACACACACACACACACACACACACACACACCATGTATTTGGGTGAGCGCCTAAATGGTCAAATACATGGAAAACGTGGCTCTTAAATTATTTTTATTATTATTAATCAAACAACAAATGACAAGTACAAAATCACTCACTTCTATTGACTGAAGAACTTTGTAGCTTTATAAAAAGAAACCAATCAAATTTTTTATAGTGAAAATATGTAAAATATCTTATTTATTAATAATTTTTTTATTCTATTATATTTATTATTCCCTTTCCATAATTGTGAAAACTTGTTAGTTTGTCTCATTCTGCTTCAGTATTAAAAATTGGAATTTAATGATCGTTGAAATTTAAATGTGCAACTATCTACCTTATTTATATGCGGAACGTTTAAATAATCATGATTACTATTATAACCAAATTATCATGATTATGATCATTTCCATAATCGAGCAGTGCTACTATGTGCTGTATTGAACTGGTCATTGTGTCCTTACAGTATTGATCACACACACACTGGACACTCTTTACTGCATTGATCCACGAGCTAACTCTTCTGATAAAGACTGCTCCTTAAGCTCACTGTCACTTCAAAAGACTGATAAGCTGTCTTGCACTGCACTGTTTCTTAGTTTGCACTCTATCAGTCAGGTGTAATTATTTGTATATTGTATTTTTAAATAATACTTAAACTGTATTATTTTAATATTTGCATTCCTCCAATTGCATTTAGGGAAGCACTTATGGGTCTAAGAGTTATGTAATGTCTGTGCATGTGGCAGAATTGACAAAGTTGACTCTTATGCTGACTTTGACTATGATCATATAGAAACAATGCTCTGAGTCAGTTTTGTTGCATCACACAACCAACTTAAAGCTTAAAGGGGAATTGGTGTGCACTGTCACTTTTTCCATTACACAAAGTATCAGTATTATTGCCACAATTAATTAATTTAAACATTCCATCAGAGTATTTCCCTAGAAGCAATGTTTTTAAAACCACTGACATGTCTCCCAATTAGACTCGTGCTTAGTTTAAACCTTTGCACTGTTCTTTTTCTTTCTCTCTCTTTTTTTTCTAATGGTTTTAATAAATGTGTCTAAGGCATTTGGACCCTCGACCTGTTAAGCCATGGCATTTGAGCAGCCCACATTTCCAATCTCATCTCCAATTATCTTATGGAGAAGATAAAACAGTTTACACAATTGTTCCTATTTAGCCTTATAGATGATTACACTGTCATCATTAATGTTAGCTGTTTGTATGTTATGTCAGATTGAATTATAACTGTGACTAGTAAGCATTGCAGAAATACAGATATTTGCAAACTTATTGTCATTGTATGATTTCTTAAGATACATACATCAACAAGCAATTGTGTCTCACAGTCACGGGCAACCTTTTTGAGGTCATGCTTCATTTTGAGGTGGATCAGTCCATCGCTTTGTTTCTCTCCTGCGCAGTGAAGGACATCAGATGCTGAAGTCTTTATGATGCACAATAGCATAAGCACAACTGAAACAGACAACGCACAAAACAATCATGGTTTAATGAAAAATACAAAGTAATGAAATATCAGCAACCTTTTTTTTACAGAATACTTACTGATTTGATATTTATTGTAACACTTTTATGCATCTAGTTAAACCCTCCTTACACAAAGCAGATTAAATAATATGTAGCGAGGTCAACAAATTTGAGACAAGTATTTCATGAATCTGCATTCCACTCCTCATTTTGACACACACTCACGAACTTCATTGATAGATCATTCATTTTCCTTGGGCTGTTTTAAGGGTTGCCACAGCAGCACCCATACCATACATCTAGGCCCACACTGGGCCCACTGAATTTGCGCGAAGAATTCCGCAGATGTTCAGCAGAATTCCTAGATTTTTACCCTATCATTAATTCTGTTCATTTACATGAGTAAATGTGTGTGAATCTATATTTATTTAGTTTTTAAATTAGTTTCAGTGATATTATTGACTAATATGAAAATGTTCATCTGATTTTGGCACAATGCAGTTTGTACAGTTATATTTTCTGTCTTTTCGTAGAGATATTATATGATAGACTTTATTTGTTTACTAAATGAACTGAATCTAATTGGATTTGCATTTGCATTTTAAACATTAAATACAAGTTAAGAAGATGTTCCCCCCCATACATATATAGCTAAAATATTTGTATAAGTAGAAAGAAAACCGCCTTTTATCCTTTCAAATTTATTTAGAAACAGTTGAGTTCCCCCTCCCCTTCCTTAGAGTGGTTCGGTCCACTTTATGCTTTCCCTCATCTCACCTACTTACACACACACACACACACACACACACACACACACGTGTCAGGTGTGTGGCAGCGGCTGAGTTAATACACACTGGAAGTAGAGCCGATCATGCGGGTAGATAACAGTGCTAAAAACCACTGAGCCGCCCTTATCGGGGGAATCCCTGCTACCTATTTAAATGTACTTTTTAAAGTGAACGAGGGACGTAAATCGATCCTTCAATTTTGACAGAGCGAGTGAGTCGGCTTCATATTTCCACTCCAGCAGCACCTGTGTGCCAGAATGCTGCGTAATTGTGACGTCCCAACAGTAGTTCACCAGGTTAACGTTATAACCGCTCGGTTTAACAAAACGTAGCAAAAGTATTAGTACATATAAACGAATAGCCTGCAGTTAACAGTTATTTAAAGAGCTTACCAATGAAGATCAAAGCAGGTTTCATCTCGAACTGAATCTTCTCAGTGACTACTACTTAAGTGACATCCGCTCGTGTGATGGCTCGTGTGTGTCTGAACGTCACGAGAGTAATGCAGCGGCTATTCTATGAGTCTGAAGGGAGGGAGATATGGGTGTTCCTTTGGCTGAAGGAGGAAATCGCCTGATGCTCGTTCACGCCAGTAGAGCGGGGTATATTCTAATTAGATACTACACATCCAACACCAAAATTCATTTTTATTACATTTTTGACTTAACAGATATATACAGGGGCGCCTCCAAGGGGTGGCCAGGGGTGGCCACGGCCACCCCTCGGTAAACTCTGGCCACCCCTGTGGCCACCCCAATATAATTTTGCGGTTGACATTATTGATTTAAATGAACTCATAAATTCCCAATATTTAGATAAATAGATAAATAAAATGCAGTCACTAAATTATTGTTGGTGTTACTGACGTAGCTCTCCCCCTCTGGTTCAATGCTGGTGAAAGCAAACTGACGCATGCGCGCGGAAAACCATTCCCGCGCGCCTCACGCACTCCTGTGTGAATCCCGGTTGGTTGTTTGCATGCACGCCGACATAATAGGCACCGCTCATGCGCCGTGAAACCGGAGTAACAGCCTTTTGTGCAGAGGTGTCGGCACGCAGCGAGTTTTGAAAGTCGTTTAAAGTTTATATAATATGATGATGATGATGATGATGATGATGATGATGATGATGATGTTACTTTCACTTTCACTAAGCATCGCCCAGGGTGTCATTTAAACTAGAACCACCACTACTACCCTCCCCGATCGTCCTTGACAGCACGCACACACCTTCAATAGACAGCAATGGCTATTTAATATTTACCTTAAGCTACAGTATATCAATAGAAGAAGCTGCATAATAAAATGGTTCAAAAAGCAATTTGGATAAATAATATTATTAGGTATAGTGAGTGTGTATAGTAATCCCTTTTGTTCAGTTTGTTCATTTGTTTGGGTTATTAATAAACTCATTATTCTTTCATTCATTTTCTTTTCGGCTTAGTCCCTTTATTAATCCAGGGTCACCACAGCAGAATGAACCGCCAACTTATCTAGCACATTTTGACACAGTGGATGCCCTTCCAGCTGCAACCCATCTCTGGGAATAATAAACTCAATCTTCATTAATTTTAGACATGGCATATCTCGTATGATGTACAATAAAGGCACGTAAAAAAAGAAGTTATTTATACAGTATATGAAAAGTGTTTTTAAAATAAACAGATTTTTATTTGGTTTGCACATGTACTTGCTGAATTATTTCAAAGAATAAATTGCAATATTTCAAGTCGAATTAATTAAATTAATAAAAACTACATTATTTCATTTACCAGAAACAAAAATATATCATTACACTGAATTCATTATTTTTTTTGTGTGCCACCCCAAGATTTGGTGCGGCCTCTTCTGGCCACCCCTAAGAAAATTTTCTGGGGGCGCCACTGGATATATAGCAGCCAGAAACCTGCTGTTATTAATTTAAGATTTAGGAGTTCTGTTTGTCAAACGCTTCACAGCTGTACAAAACATGCAAATCCTTTATTTATTCTCAGTACCAAAGTTAGGCATCTGGCAGAATAATGTCTGCTGCTTTAGTGTTAACTCTGTGTAGTTTATTAAAGATGTTGCTGTGGGGTTGACTGAGTTAAGAAATAGTAAAAAAGCAATATAAGTTTACAGCAAGTGAACTAGAAAAACAGCCAACTGCTGGCAACCTTGTTTCCAATGTTTGTTTGTTTGTTTTGTCAAATCATAAACAAATATA